AGATTTTTCGGTGTTGAAAAACTTTGTACTACATGTCTAGTCTATGTGTTCTCTGGTCAGTGTCAGTACTTTTGGCAGTAAAGATCATTGTGTCACGTTGGGCGCCAGTTGTAACGAACCTTCGGTTTATCCCGAGTCTAAGCTGGGCTAGTTTCAGCTGACTGTGGATTCGTGCCAACAAAATTATTTGTTGAAGCCCCTTCGATTTTAATTAGTCACTTGTGATTTATAGCTTATAGCTTATAGCGTGAATATAAAGTTGTAAATTTACACGTCACTTATTTTATGATTCTATGCTGGTTCGCTTTAGCAAGGCACACCGGCTGAGTGCTTGTTCAACGCACTCCGGCTGGGAGAGTGTTGTGCTAAGACACGCTAGTTTCAGTGGAACGATTCGGAAAACGTCAGGATTTGGGTCTGTGAGCTCCGGCGGTTTGCTCGGCTATACAGACCTCTCTGACTATTCCACTCGTTCACAGCAAAACACTAGCTTCGTTTCACACACAACACTTCTCTTACGCACGGCTACGTTGACTTATTCAGATATGCAGGCCTCGCTTAAGCTGATGGACTGCACCAATATCCTTGTTGGTGCCGCTGACGATCCTGCTTGCCTCTTTAGTCGTCGCGTTGACTTTCACTTTACTGTTTCACTTCGGCACTCTTGTCACTCTGACTTTCACTTTTAATAATCACTTTTTTTACTCTCTCTCTGGAGCTGCCGGTGGCCTTTTATAGCCCAGCCACAGGCCCTGCTTCGGGTGGTAACGGGGCCTGTTTGGCTCTGGAGCGGGGCCTTTCTGCCGTTCGTGACCATAAAAAACGGTAAAGTGGCATGATCTGGGTGACGCCACTTTCCCGCCAAATCGCGTGGCAGCCTCCCATTGGCCGAAATACCGTTGGTGCCCTGCGAGTGAAAGTGTCCACTACCATCACCCGGCCCGAACGGCACCTCGGATAACGGTCCTCGATGATCGACGTGTGTGCGACGCGAGCCCATTGCTGAATCTGTAGGAGCGAAAGAGGCCGACTATAGTCGGACGTTGACCCCTTTCCAGTCGCGAGGGTAGCTCCTACAGTACTCGCGTCGCTGTGTCGAGCAACATGTATATGCACGTATATGCATATAAACGCACAGAAACTAGTACTTTCATATACATTGATACTTGCATACCAATATTGCTCCTCACAACATTAGAAAAAATGTTAATCATGTGATCAATATCTTCTGTGCGGCACATTATGCTTTAGTTTAGAAGAGGAAGTGAATTGTTATACTCATTCACGAAAGTGAATTATTATACTCGATATGCCAGAAATCATATTAGTTGAAGAGCTAGAGAGCTAAATTTTGGTATGTAGGTCTGCGTCGATCACCCTAGATCACGAGATATGGCGTATATATCTACGACCATTGGGCGCGTGACAAATCGGATAAAACTGTATCTCCAAGACTGTATCTTACAGAACAAAATCCTGACGTCTTCTGGATGGTTCAAGCGAACCTAGTGTGTCTTTAGCACAACAGTCTCCCAGCCGAAGTACGTTGAGCCTGCACTCGGCGAGCCGCTATAAATTGTACTCTAAGTGAAGTGTCAAATTATAATCATATTCAAGAAAATATACATTACGTTTATATCTAAATCACAAGTGTCTAATTATTATCGCAGGGGCTTCAAAAAATAAATTGTTGGCACGAACTCACAGTCGGCTGGAACTAGCCCAGCCCTAGGAGATATAATTTTATAACTGATTTTCGATACGATTTTAATGGATAACGGGATGAGTTAATGATTTTGGAAGATAAATTTGATATGCACGCAATATATACGGATATTTTAAAAATAATTTTAAGTCACTAGGTCCTATATCTAATGTGATCGATGCGTTCATAAATACGGACAGACCGACGGATAGACAGACGGACTGGGCTAAATCAACTCAGCTCGTCGCCCTTCTGCCATTTTAATACATTTTAACAAAACCATTTAAACAAAACTATCAGAGTAAATGTGGTAAATTTACGCATTTCAGTGTTATAATCATCTGCAAGAAAAGTTAATAAACAATAAAGGTCCCGTAGTTGGCCGACACTGCAGCAATCACACATTTGCAGGCATTTATGCCTGTGTCTTTAAATGTGCATGTGCGAGAGGGTGCAGGGGATCTCCTAGTGGAGCAGTGTCGACTAAAGCTTTATTACTTGTTTAGTTTTGTTCAGGGTGGTTGAGCACTCCCGACTAGAGTTTGATTACTTGTTTTTATAGGTCTATATTGAAGTGTTCAAGGTATCCCGTAGTCGACCCGTCTCAATTATAGATTTGTTACATGTTTCAAAATATTAAGATATCTCATTATTATTATTATATTAATAGAAATTAAAACAGCATTATATGTAACAAAAAATAACAAATTGACAGCCCACTATGCATTTATATAGGTAAATAATTAATTATGTACATAAGCATATACAAATTTTACAAAAGCGACAACTTTTGCATAACAAATCTTACATATCATACACTCGGATAATACTTTATGTTAACATTGTTTAATAAACAGGGTTCCCTTGACCTCGACAATGTCCAAAAAGATGTTATTCAATCATATTGAATAACAAACAAGAGAAAATCATACCAAAGATCTGAAAATCAATGCACATAATAATAATAAGCATAAACATAAATAAAGCTAAGGCACATACCATAAGTATAGCGACGGCTATCGATGTGCCTCCAATAACAGCCGCATGATCTCGTATGAAATTTGTAGCCACATACAAACAGCCTTGATTATACAAATTCGTTATATTGGGAAAGAGAGCACATTCTTTGCGTTGTCCTCCAAACAGTTCTTGACAGCATGATTCTGGCACAAGTCCATATCGATTCCAATCGTGCCAAGTATCTACGCCACAGCATTGTAAACGTTCTTGTGTTAAGTCCCAAGCCTGTGTAATTTCTCGCCGACTACCATACAAAGCCATTGTGGAACGCATTTCCTAATTAAAAACAAGGTTTACACTTTTCCACATCTCATATTATGGTCCTGATATATTTACCTGACGCATAGTTTGCTGCACTCGTTCACGAAAAACGTAGCCCAAAACGCCGCCAATTAGCATGGTAACGAAAACCAAAGCAACGATGA